AGCAAGAGTTAAGAAGCACTTCTATCATGAAAAAAAACAAACAACAAACACACACAACAACAACAACACAACACAACCCACAAAGAAGAAGAAGAAAAGAGAAAAGAAGAAGAAGTAAGAAGAAGAAGAAGAAGAAGAAGAAGAAGAAAATACGGAAAGAAGAATAAAGAAGAAGAATAAGAAGAAGAAAAGAAGAAGACTCATAAATCATAATCAAGCCTAATAATAAGAAGCTAATTCAGCATCATCCGACATCAGCACACTCACCATCCATAAGAATAAAACTCCTGCATACCTCCATCATCAGGAAGAATACCTACAGATTTCCTGGAGTTATGTGGTGCCGGTCATACATCATTACACACTAACAGTAGGCTAAGCCACCCTCGGATGCTGAGCTCAGTACAACAACACCAAGAACCAATGCTGTGCAGCAGGCTCGAGCCGCAGGAGACCCCCATGGCGCAGAGTATAGTGGTCGCTGAACGGTTTGATCCCCGCAGATACTGTTTGGTCTTGTCCTCCGCGCAGAGAGAGAGGCCGCCCAGAGACAACACACACAACAAGACGGCCGGTAATTGGGTTGAACAGAGACTGCCCTGCTGTCTGTCAGACCGTAAACGCGCAACCGTGCAAACAGATGTTATTGTTGTGGGGTTTCAGGGGTGAGACGGGGTGAGGAAGAAAAGAGGGAGGGAAGGAAGTGTTTACAACATGACTCATAGGTGCTCCGTTCAAATCATGGGTACGTCTTGTTGGACGGGATGTGAAGTAACATGAACTAATTTGGAGGCCTACTTAACTTGAGTATTTGTTGCTACTTTGTACGTCTACCCAACTACGATGTAGAGGTCAATAGTGTAGCTCAGGGGTGCCCAACCTTTTTTGAACCGAGAGCTACTTTTAAAGTTGCCAGTCTGCCGAGATCTACCAGTCCAAATAGAGAGGCGTAGCCATTACTGACAGCCTACTACCAGGTAAATACACATTTCTACTTGTATAAAACTGACCTTTGTACGATTAATACTTCATAAAATACTGCAGATCCTTTATCTTACCTCTTTCTAATCTACACACATACAAGTATTTAACTGAAGTTACACAACAGTGTTGTTGATACAGAGTTGGAGTTTATTCAGATGTCACTACAGTGGGTAATGTTTTCAAGAAACATTGAACAGTGCTGCCACATATGACACAGGACAAAAAGAAAATACTCTGAACCCTTTCTTTGCCATTATATACAAATAGTGTTGCTACAAAAGTATAAATTAGGCTTACTAATAAGACAACTCAGATCTGAAGCTACACAGGAATCTGCTATCAACGTGCAATAAAAAAAGATTATCTAAAAAATGTATAGAATCAAACCCTTTTTTTGTTGCATTTTAGTAGAGTATCAAAATAAATGCCTTTAAAATAGGATGCAAGCAACACTAGTTTCTTAACCTGAATTGATAATAGACTATAATCAATTTAAGTTTGCATTCTTATACCATTTTGTACAATAATTATAATGAATAAGTTCAAACAAACTAAAACTTACAGCTGATTAATAACGGTATCTAACTTGAGTTTTTATTATTTCAAAAACCTGTTGAAATGCTACTATTACCCAAAAAGCGCGTCGGCAGCCTCCAGGAATGTTTCTTTCACAACTTCGCCGTCTTTGAAAGACTTCATGTGTTTCGCAAGAACGTGACTGACACGATAAGATGCTATGGTAGCAGCCTTGCTCTTGTTGTTGGCCTGGTGAAAAGGGACTGCTGTGCATTTAGCTGTCCTTTCAGGCCCCTCCCCTTTTGGGAGCGTAGGGCAGAATTAGGAGGGAATTCCGTCTCGTAGCGTTTGTGCACTGTTTTGAAATGCCGCTCCTAAATTACCCTTCTTCGATAAAGCCACGCTCGCATTGCAGATGAGACAGATGGACTTTGAATTGGAATAGATACAAAAATAATCATCCTCCCACTCGGAGTGAAAATTATATATTTTGGGCTTTTTTGCTTCTGCCATAATTGCGGTGTGTGCGGACTGTCACTCCTGTTGACACCATAGGGTTGACACGGACAACAGAGGCTTCTCAATACTCAAATTTCCCCTCCTCGACTCCCCTCCTCGGTTCCCCTCCTCGAGACTTAGACCCGCCCACAGGAGATGCGAGCGGAGGACCGAGGAGGGGAACCGAGGAGAGAGGAGGGGAAGCAGCAGACGTTTAAAGAAATGAGAACTCCTCTCCTCTGAGCGGTCATTTTAAAGAGACGTCCGTTCATTATTACGTGGCAACAGCGGCATCAGCTGTCGAGTGTTTTGTCATAGCGCTGTATCCAGGGACGCCCCTGGTCAACTTGGGGCCCCAAGCGACATTGTGAGATGAGGCCCCCCCCCCAACCGACAGGAGTGAAAAAAAAATTCCTGTTTATTATTATTATCAACACAGTTACTTTTTTATACAGTGAGGTAAATGGTAAATGTGCATGTATATCGTTCAGTATTCGTTTACAGGTGACTACGTCTGCATTTCCTGCCAAATACTAGCCTCAGAAAGATTAAAATATAATTAATGCAAATAAATTACTTCTACTAATAATCATAATCAATTCAATAATATAAATACTATATTATTTTATTATAATATTGACATGCTCAAAACTGATATTTCTTAAATCTGTATTCTAGTTCTCTCTGTCAGCAATGTATCAACAACTACACACACATTCTATCAGTATTTCTCTGTGTTGTGGTTGACATGATGATGACTGTTAGCAGTTAAGGGGAGAGGCTGAGCATCACCATTAAATGTGCAAATTGACATAAAAATGAATAAAATGGGAAAAAATGCTCCATGTTTTTTAGGCTGTAAACTTTAACTGTTATGTAAGCCAACTAGACAGACAGTTTATCACTCTTCCTCCTGTATACATTAGCAGATAAAAGGCATAACATACTTGAATGAATGGTAAATAAAGAATGCTGGAAATAACTGCATCTCCATTAGCCTATATGCTCTGCAGAGACTGCCTTCTTCATGTCGTGAATTGCAGCTGATGTTTTAATATGGCAATTGGCAATTTGACTTATACAACATTCGTAAGTTGTACATTTGACTCATACAATAACCCACCTTCGAGTGATGCTCTAGTTTCTTCATGTTTTGTGCGCCGGACTGAAACTGTCTTTTCACCGACATCTCTTCACCTGCACTAGTGGCCGTATCAAAGCCGTGATTAGTCAGATGTGGATTCATTGCAACGGTGTCGGGTTACAGACGTGCTCCCCTTGTCACCTCTCACTCTCGCGGGGGTGCACGGAGAACTGAGCGGAGAACTGCACACATCAGCTGAGGCCCTCTGGGCGGGGCCCCCTGCGCAAGGCGGGGCCCCATGCAGCCTGCGTGATTGGCCTGTAGGGAGGGGCGGCCCTGGCTGTATCTCTGTTAGATCAGCTGAACATTGTTCCCCCACATATTTACTTTGAATTCATTGAGAGTGCGGTATAATGAGACAATAACAGGCTACAGATGCGGACACACACACACAAATATATTTATATAAATATATACAATTTAAAGTATGAGAGCACTCTCATAATAACGTAACACAATCAGAGACTGGATATATCCCCCCCTCTCTCTGGTCGCTGAAATGGGGAATTGAAATTACGGGCCAAAAGTTGTATTTACAAGTAGGCCTATTAAAAGTAAGCAGAGGACACCAAACCAACTGAGACCCGTCTGTCCGCCGCATTTACGCACTGTACAACACACACCTACCCACTGTACAACACACACCTACACACTGTACCACACACACCTACAGCTCCTAAAGCATAAGCCGTTGTGTATTTTCTTATGTGAAGCAATGGTCTTAGAAAAATGTCGACTCTTTGTTTGTAGATATCTACTAAACTAAAGCAAATAAAGAGAGTAGGCCTGTTATACTGAGTGATATATATTATACACACTGCTCTGCTTTCTGCATGGACCTTACAGCTGTTCTCTCTGGAAACATCGCGACGTGATGAAAGCAGTTTCTAAAATAATATTCAGGGGATGCATGCATAGCTGTCATTGGCTGAGATAAGTCCGGCCGTGCGTCACGCCTCCACCGTTCCCGGAAATGCATCCGTGGAGGAGCCGTGGAGGAACCATCAGTGTATCCTCGGTTAGAGCTCCTCCAGAGAGCCTCCTCGACGCTCGATCCTCGGTCCTCGGTGTGCATTTAGAGAAATGAGATGTCCTTCAAAATGGCGCGCTGAAATTCATTTCCGGGTCACTACCGGAGGACCGAGGAGTCGAGGAGGGGAAATTTGAGTATTGAGAAGCCTCTAACGTCAGCGAACTAGCGCACGCCGGCCAATCACAAAGCTTTGATGCGTTCAAGTACATTATTCTGGCACAGGAAGATTATGTTATAGGACATTAACGATAAAACCGAATATTGTTGTTCTATTTTTAGACACATCTCGCGATCGACTGGGAATCTCCCCGCGATCGACCGGTCGATCGCGATCGACTGGTTGGGCACAGGGGCGGCGCCAGGGGGGAGCTAGGGGGTTCTGAAGCACCCCCCAGGATTGCCAAAGCACCCCCTAAGCACCCCCAAGAAATATGTGTTTTTTTTAATTATTATTATTATTTTTATTAAATTAGAAATATTATTGATTACATCAATGCATATGTGAAACAAACACATTTTTGACCAAAAACATAAAGCCAACACAGGTGATATGATTAGGCCAATGGCCAGCATCCATTCGATTTTTGACCTACCCATAGACTAAATTACTTTGTGACACTTGGGTGACTTCCTGTTAGCTAGAGCGCCAAATGATTTGCTAACAGCAAAGTGAAACATTGATCATTTTTAATCCTTAAACGTCCACGTGTGGACACTCAATCAAAACCAACTGAAAGCGAGAGGGATTCTGCACATAATAGGCCTCGTGAGTACAAGTAGCTTACTTCTGGGTCTCTGTGTTTCATTCAAGCCCTGCTCTGTGTGTGTGTGTGTGTGTGTGTGTGTGTGTGTGTGTGTGTGTGTGTGTGTGTGTGTGTGTGTGGCACGAGCCATTTTGTGTGCGTGCGTGCGTGCGCGAGCGAGCGAGAGAGCTCGCCTCGCACACCAGTGGGTATCTACCGGAGATCGTTGTGGTTGTCACTACTCGATCTGCAGCTCTGCCTGATCTGCAGTGCGCATGTGCGAGATGGTCCGCCATATTGGACAACTCCGGACGGCAACCCAAATAGGACAACATTGACACAGTGGCTTTTGGCAAAGCTAAAAAGGAAAACTCGAGAGGGATGAGTTATTGTTATTACAACGTGACTTCACTATTATTTAACAACTCTTTTTATTGGGTTCGTTTATTTGGGGTTAAGTACATTGTCAGAATAAGTGAGAAATGGATTTAACTTCTGTTAGACAGCTATCATACTGAATACATATTTACTGTGAATGTG